GGGACATATTTGCGAAGTTTGGAGAGACAAGTGAGACAAATTGCAACTATATTATCCGAGAGAATCCCAGGTACTCTGCCAGCTAATACTAAAAAGAATCCCAAAGAAACGGTAAATGGTGTGACCTTGAGAAGTGGACAAGTTTTGAAAGATCCCACTCCAATTCACAAAGAAGTTGCGCCTGAAAAAGAAACTGGGAAGGAGCTGAAAATTGAAGATGGTGATAAAAAGACTAAGAAGAAAAAAGGGAAGGAGGGAGCTAAAAAAAAGAAAAAGGAGGAAACTTCAAGAAAGGAGGAATCCAATGAAGAGAGCAAGCACATGCCTGCTTTAACTTTTCCCCAAAAGCTCTATAGAGAAAAGCTGGATAAGTAGTTTGAGAGATTTCTAGATATGCTGAGATAGGTTAATGTAAATTTGGCATTCATGGAAGTTCTCTCACAAATGCCAGCTTATGCAAAGTTCATGAAGGAGATCCTTTCAAAGAAGAGGAAGATAGAAGAGACCTTAGTGGTGAAACTTACAGAGCATTGAAATGCAATATTGCAAAACAAACTCACACAAAAGTATGGAGATCCAGGGAGTTTTACGATAAGTTCGTATTTCCTGCAGATTTCATAGTGGTGAATATGGAGGAGAACAAAGAGGTCCCCCTCATCTTAGGAAGACCATTTTTAGCAACGGGTAGAACTATACTGAATATACATGATAGAAAACCCATACTTAGAGTGGGTGAGGAAATGGTGACTTTTGAGATGAATGTAGCAATTGGAGTGAAAAAGGAGAAGCCAACTGCAAGTGTTAAGTGGAAGCTGAAGAGTTCAAAAGAGTAGGCTCTAGTGATTAAGAAAGATAAGTGTGGGGTGTACCCCAAGAAGGCTGAAAAGAAGTTGTCCGCATGGATGTTTGTACTAGTCCGGGCGCGTGGAATGGAGCCCGACTTCAACTCAGACCCCGACTAAAAATTCAGGAAAGTTTCCTTTACCTTATACTTTTTAATTGTGTGTCATGGGGACATGCCACAACTTAAAAGTGTGGGGTAGGGGGGGATATTTGTATGTTGTATGTATATGTATTTTAGTTTTTGTTAATTTTAGTAGTTAGAGATAGAAAAAATTGAAACAAAACATAAAAATTTTAAATTTTTTGAGTTTTCCCGACGATGGATATTATTCAACTGGTTTCTTGAAGGAATTATATTGAAAGAAAAAGACAAAAAGATTTTCTTTTGTAGTTAGTGTATTAATTACCCCTTGGTTTTTCTTTGTGCCGCGATTCTTTTCCAAGGGTTTTGTTTGAACCGGGTGTAGTTAGTTTTTTTTGTTAGGAGTAGGAAACCTTGTGCTATAGTTTGAAATGGAAGAAATATCTCTTGACTTTGTTATGCCTTGAAAATAGTGAGTGCTTTAGTTGTGACGCTTAGGCTCAGTTTTTGACTATTGTGTAAGTACCTTAAATTGTATAATCTTAACTTTGCTTAACTGCTTTGACTAGAGTTTCTTGATGAATCCAAGCTTGAGTTAGTTATGTACCATGTGTCTGAGGTTTTGTGTTATTTTTTGCATTGCATTTGATGTCTAGAACTTGCCCCGTGTGTTTGCAAAGCAAAATAGTAGTGTTATTCAGTCTTGGAAGTGATATAGGCATTTCTTTGTTGAGCCAGTTATATGTTTTACCCACCTAATTTTTATGTATCGTAGTTAACCCTTTTGAGCCTGTAATCCTATTTTTTTTGTTTTGGCAACCACATTACAAGCATTACCCATTAGTTTGAATTGACCATTTATTTAAACTATTTACCTCTCTTGATTACTTGAAATTGTATGAACTTTGTAAAAGTTGAAGTGTGGGGTGATTGGGCTGGTGTTTGAGTGGAACTAATGAAATAAGGAGAAGGTGCACTGAATTGAAAAAGTAAGAGCCACTTGAATTGAAAAAGAAAAAGAAAAATTTATGTAGTTTTATGATTGTGAAAAATGATCTTTGTTGAGTGGTAACTCTTGATGTAATTGTGCTTAAATAAGAAGGGAGTTAATGCATATTGATGTTAAGGTGGAGTATGGTTTGACAATAGTGTGGGGTTTTGAATGTTAAATTGTATGTATTAAAGTTCTTAGGGAGATGTAGTCACGCTTATATCCAAATATATCCTACTCGTCCTGCAGCCTACATTACAACCAATTAAAGTCCTACTTGATCCTTGACTGAATGAGATCAATTAGTGGAGTAGTATACTACGGGCAAGCTTATGGTTCATCTTTTGTGGCATATGAATGTTGTTTCTGAGAGTGAGTGAATTCTTTCTATCTTGAGTTCCTGATTGTTCTAAACTTTTATGGTGTGTGGAACTACTCTCTTTTGTTGTGTGAGGGCACTTGATTCATGAAGGAAAGGTAATGACTACACTATTGTGCTTAGTCTATTTTAAATATTCTTGGTATGATGAGTTAAGAGAGTTGTTTAAAACGGTCATCTCATTATGAAGTTTAGTTTAATTGCTCGAGGACGAGCAATGGTTTAAGTATGGGGTGTTGATGGTAGGCTATAATCTCATGTTTTAGTCGTTTATCGCACTTTAATTTACTGCACTTTAATTGAGTTAGAGCTTTAATCGCTAGTGTTTTGCACTAATTGTGTATTTTATGCCTTGTAGGAGTGATTCCAATCTATGTAGATGTTATGGAATGAATTCAATCTAGTCGGGAGCTTTGAAGTCTGAGTAAAAGCCCAAGGATTAAGTCGGGATCCTGTTCAGGGATCAACGAATGATAGTGGAACGAAACGAAGAATCGAGCAGGCATATTGCGCAGTGTCTAGTAAACTGCACATAACATTTTGCTCAGAACTCTGTTTGGGCTCCACAATATATCATTGCAAAGCTATTTAAACGGGCCACAACCATCATGGTTTATGTTTTCCCAAAGTCCCAATAGAATGCCACCCATGTGTGCGGTCACGCACGGGTCACGCATTGGGCGCGCAGATGAGGCAGAACAGGGTGAAAAGTGCGAGGCCAAGTGCGCTGCCGTGCACGTCCAACTCCGAAAAAGTGTCCTATTTCACGTAGGAGAAGGTGTATTTATTTGGTCCCGACCCTACTTGGTATATATACATGAAAAAATGGTATTTTGAGGACTTTTGACATAATGTAGACCTAAGGAAACTAAGGAGAATAGGGAGAAGCAAGAGCATAATGATTTCACCATTCATCCTCACTCAAGATAAGGGTTTGGATGTTTTATGTTTTTCTTTGACTTAAACTTAATTGTGATGAATGTTTCTATATCCACAGAGTTATTCTTCCTTAGGGATTGATGGATTTGGTGTTTTGAGAATTGTTTATGGATATTAACTCTAGTTTTATGTATTGAAACGTTTTGGGTATTTTTATTATTGCTTATATATTCACTTGTTTATGTAATCGAAAGAGGTATAATTTGTGATGTTTTGCATTATCTTATTGGTTGAATTCATTGATTCTTGTTAGTAATCGAAAGAGGTTAGTTGAATTAATGTTTAGACCTAGTTAGGAGCATAATCGAAAGAGGTTCTCCTAAGGATCAATCCACTACGAATTCTTGCATATCTTCACCAAGCTTAACTTAGTTCACATTGTAAGGTTGAGACTTAATCGAGAGAGGAGTTTCTACTGAATGTTTGAACATAATAGAGTGAATTCGAGAGACTAACTTGAACCATAGAAGTGAAGTAACTAGAGTTAATTCCCAAACAAGTACCTTACACCTATCCAATCAACCCCTATTTTCTCCCTTTGATATCTTCTTGATTACTCTTGTTGCGATTGTCATTAGCCAATAATTTAGACTTTTAGTAAATTTTAGTTTTGAATTACACAACTCTAAATTGTTGATCATCTTGGATAGCAATTAAAACTAGAAGCTACAAAAATACTATTCAAATCTAATCCCTGTGGATACGATATTTTCTATACTATATTCGACTAGCGAGCATAATTTTGTGTTGTGTTTTTAGCTCTTCAGTAGCTTCTTTTATACTTTTGTAGATAATAAGCCTTTGGTTTTCTTAACGCCATGGTTCTTTCCAAAGTTAGTATTTGTTTGAACCGGGTGACTCATCCCANAGCAGTAGCAGCACTAGTAGTAGCAGCAGTAGTAGTAGCAGTAGTAGCAGTAGCAGTAGCAGCGGCAGTAGCAGCCGTAGCAGCAGTAGCAGCAATAGTAGCAGTAGTAGTAGCAATAGCAGCAGTAGCAG